CCAAACAAGGGAAAAAGCAACAAAATGGAAGAGATGAAAGCAGAGGAAGAGGCAGAAGACATGAAAGAAAATGAAGAGGAGATGGAAGAGGAAGAGATGCGAATCACAGTGGAACCGGCAGTGGATGAAGCAGATATAATCGAGACGACTACAGAAGGAACTAAAAAGAGGATCAAGGTGAGCACTCTTTTGATTTTTCATTCATCGTTAAATATTTCCGCTTACTTTTGAGCTTGATCCCGTGTCCACATTTGCCCTGCCCACTTTTAATTCATACTTTATACAGACTGCCGCAACTACATGCGCGCTTCGAATTTTGCATCTGCTTTTTTATTGTTTTTTCCTGGAACTTTTTGTCATTTCTTCCAAAATCTAGAGCCATTTTCCAAGCTGTGTTTTGATCTTTTCGCAAATAAAGGACGTGCGCGTGGTCGCACGGTCAAGGAACTGCACTACACAGAGGCAACACAGTAACGTCTTTAGTTTTGTCAAAGAAAGCGTTCTAAATCCTTACAATAATAACAGAAATATCTCTAATGAAATTTCCACTTGGAAAGATTTCTAATAAAATTTCCACACCTTCTCGTGGGTGTACTGATAAAATTTCAGTCAAGCGACTGAAAATCTGGCGTGCTCATTTTAGACTATCAGAGGGAAGAAAACGAGGACAAAGGCTGACGTGGAGCAAGCGATTGAAGACACAAATTTGGAAGGAAGTGATATCCTGTCTATGAACGCTTCCTTCAAGATAGGAGGTGAAAACACTAATGTAAGACTGATGCGCAACTAAGTAATGCGAGTAGATAACATCCACTTAACAGATCCGCACAGACAGAATCAAGGCAAGCTTGAGAGATGCTCCGAATGCCAAATACTACTACCCACCTAAAGTCATGGTCCCACTACCGACATGCTTCTACAATCCATCCGGTAGATTTTTTGAGCACTTGATGTACTCAAAATCGTTCATTCTAGGCTACGTCTGTTGCAATCTGCAGCTAAACAATTTGATAGAAGACACTTTTGAGGAAGTCAAAAACGTGCAGGGATATAGTGCCTGCAATATAGCAAAAATGGCAAACATTATGCAGGTGAGCTTGAGCATATCGCCCCACTGGCAACGAAAATGAGGACTGAGTCTGCAGAATTGCAGCAAAAGAGCGAACAAATGTTTGGCCACCCATTCGAAAGCATTGTTGCTTTGTCGGATTTTGCCCAAAACGTGCACTTTGCAGGAGATTTGGTCTGTAAGGTGGAAATCGACGGAAAGTAAGCGCTAAACATTTTTGCAACGTTTTCCTAAACCAAGTTTTTTCTAGATACATGCTTACATATGCGACACCGTACGATGCTGATCACGCAGTCGAAGGCGTTGAGATTTCTGAAACCCCAGCGCCATTAGAAGATGAAGAAGGAGATGAGAGTGAAAGACGAGTTAGAAAAGAAAGGAAACCGAGGAAAATT